GTCTAGAGACAAGAACAGAATAAATTATGCTAAGGTCAGTTAACAATGAGCAAGGAGTTCAACTAACTGAAATCTAATCTTACAGCTTACAAGAGCTGCATTTCGATAATACAGACTTGCAACAACTTTAACTGAAAGTTTGCCTAAATAGAAAGCGAGACCAAGATGTAACTTAACAAGTTAGGGTGATCTATGGTTCGGAGCTTGACTAGGAAACACTCTGTATCCGAATAGGTAAGATTATTGCAGTCATGTATTCTAAATGAATTGGATATTCGGGATATAGGTTCTCCCAATTTTAGTCTTCTCTAATAAAAGAAAGAAAAGAATATTTTAAGACACGTCTTCCTACGCTTATTTCATAGTACTCCTTAAGAGGGAGGCGTAACAGCTACTCAAGTAGCATCAAGTTCAAGTCCCCAGTTCTTGAATCTGTACTCTTCGTATTTGTACTATCGCCTAAACTCTAAACACCTTATTTAGGTGATTTACCCCATAGCAATTTCAAATATGCAAAGTATTTATTGAAACTTGTTGATAGGGAGAAAGAGAATTTAGTCGAACTTGATTTGCGGCGATTTGTTGTATAACTAAACTAAAATAGTTTTGATACCCTTTTAACTATTTTAGTTTAGTTATACAACAAATCGCCGCAAATCAAGTTCGACTAAATTCTCTTTCTCCCTATCAACAAGTTTCAATAAATACTTTGCATATTTGAAATTGAAATATGATCATATTTCGATGTGATCTAAGCGCAGTTGCAGAACTTGAGTTGGCATAATATTTGCATAGTTCGCTAACTAGTTGTCGAATGGACATGCAGTTGATCTAGAGCAAAATATAACCGGAGCTGGTGCATGGAAATCTCAGTGGACCATGTCGTTGGTCATGTTTATTTTTTCATGTAAAGTTTTTAAATAGGTTTATTATTTGTTTTGTTTGTTTGTGCCTCGGAGCGATCCGTTTGCAGATCACGAGCGTAGCCGCCCATCCCGAGCCTGGTTATTTTAGCTGTCGTTCGACACGTAATTAACTAAATAGAATTGTAACTTGTGACTCCCTCAGCACCCTCTAAATACTAGGCACCGAGTACTCCCTCACGCTCACAAAGCCAGAGCAAGTAGAAATTAGCAACGACATGCGAGATAAGCGATCGACTGCCCAGACCCAATGCAAAGCGACAGCATTTGGGCGGGGTCGGTGTCAGGGGCAGTGAAGTGCACTAAAGAAGAGTGCTCTAGAACATATACATATATATACATTCGTTATCGGCGATCTGTCGCATGCTCAATTACCTCGCTCTTAACTAAATAAAATGCGCACTCTTCGGCAGCTATCGCTCTGCTGTATTGGTTTTTGTTTTATTTAAAGATTGATGAATTCGTCGATCGACAGCTTATCAAGCAAAACACTTTCTCGCACACTCGCTTGTTCAGTCTCCAAGCAAATTGGCCCTAAATTTTTTTTTCAATATTTTTTTTTTTACTCTATAATATATATTGTTATAACGATAAGCAACTGCTGCAGTTTTTATGATCCAAATGCTCATTCAGTATACAAAAATTATATATGTATATTAAATTGTTTATATTACCAATTGTAGTTTTATTCACAAATTAAACAGTGAGAAAAGTTACAGAGGAAACTTTGATAATTTTACAACATTATTCATAATCTAGCTAGTACACAAATTATATAAAAATAAAATTGAATACTCACAAAATACTTAAATTATAATCAACATATAAAGTGAATTTCAAATTAATTTCTCAAATGTTCTCTCAGCTGTAATGGAAACAAATCTCTCTTAAGTCCTACTCCACAATCTATCATAGTATTCTAGAATAAATACTATATCTAGAATATCAATAGTTTGCAACAACAACTATTTTGCCTTTGAATTCAAATATAAATTTCCTACTCCGCTAAAATATGTAAATATTGATCATACGCCCCATATCACACAGAAAAGCCCCAATCAAACGTCTATATAAGAAAAAAACTCAATTTCCAGCAGTAATACGCACAAAGTAAAATAATACCCAGAATTGAAAAAACTAAAAAAGCCGGTAGGAAAAGCTAAAATTAAAAGAAAAACAAACACTGCATGATGCAACTGCAACCAAGGCGAACTCAAACAAGTTGCAAGCAACAAAGATTTGAATCCAACTGCAACAGAGAACAGCGAACAAAAGCAAAACAACTACAAAGTGCAGCGCCGGCGAAAGCAGCAGCAGCAACAGCAACAACAACAAGAGCAACAACAATGACAGTGTGACAACCAGCCAATGTGTGTGAGGCTGCCTATGTACAAGGGCGCGCCTGCATGTCTGCGTATGTGTTTGGCAGCTAGTGAGAGGGGCAAACCTGTTTGTGTGTGTGTGTGTGTGTTGGCGCGTGTGCATGGCTGTGTGTGTGTGTGTGTGTGCACAGCCCCCAAAAACATTTCTCCAAATGCAGCGACGTCGACGTCAGCGGCATTCGCTCTCTGGGCTTTGGTTCCGTTTCGTCGTCCGTTGCATTCAGTCGTTGGTCGCACTTGTGGCCCAAGCAAACACAGCCAAACATCGCACACACTCTCACTCACTCACACACACACACAGTCAAACTATTTCTCACACGTACATGTGCGGAAATTCGCTGCCTGCTGCGCTCGACGATTTTTGAGTTCTTCGCATCCGCGTCTTGGGCCCCAATGTGAGTTGCCTTGCGCACGTCAAAGATTTCAGATCGAACAGCAGCAACAGCAGCAGCAGCTATAGCCGCAGCCGCAGTCGCAGCCGCAGCAGAAAAAGCTCAGCTCGCGCGTTACGCGAACCGTTACAAAGTGTTAAAGCAGAACGAAAGAGCATTGCTTAGCATACAGATCGATTCATATCACTAATCGCTTGTCTCAATATCTACATTAGTTTCTTCTTCTTATATCACGCATTCGGTTATCGTTTATCGTCTTCGTCGTCGCCTTTGCCTTTGCCTTTGCCGTTGCCATTGCCGTTGCCGTTGTTGTTCTCGTGCGCGATTTGCCGGCGGCGATCGTGAGAAGAAGTTCTTAAGTGATTTTTTGTTTGTTCTGTGACAATATTAACTGCATAAATAGTGTTTGGAAATAAATATATTAGCTGTATAAACACAGTAAATACATATATAACAATACAAGTGTTGAAAAAAAGAAGATATTTATGTAAAATACAATATATATACAAATTTAATACTTTATAAATTTAGCCAGTTGAAAGTTTGATAAATATTTCTTAAAATAATCATATTTATTCAAATCTAAATCAATATAATATACAGTTTTTCAATCTACATATTTTATATAAGGTAAAATCATTAATTTGAGCTACACTGTAATTAATATTTTTAGAAAACAATCCAGTTTCAATCAATTCACATATTTAAAATTGAAATGTAATAAAAAAAAATATATTGATACTAAACAATATTTATTTTCGCATATTATCCTGAGTATATGAATCTGAAACACTAAAATATATTTATTTTCGCATATTGTCATAAGAACATAAATCTGAAACACAAAAATATATTAAATATATATATTTTTTTAAGAAAATTAGATCACCAAATTCAAAGGAAGTTTATTTTGAGACTACTCAAAACATAGGATATCTTTATTCAACTTAATTAATATTAATTAATTCAACTTCAATTCAATTTATACTTTAAATATATCTTAAATATAGTTCAAGTTTAAACATAAAAATTGAATTAAACTTCTATTAGATTTTTTCTAATTTAGATCAGCGAATGTGTTTGAGTGACATTTAAAAAATATCTGGATGCCCAGCTCCGCCCTTAAGTTGTAAACGATATTTAAAAACTATATATATAAAGATCTCATCAGTTTTTTTTTTTTTTTTTTGCGGCCTCTTTATTTCTATTATAACTGATGGAGGATGTGTATTTTTCAGATTATTTATTAAACAACATTTTAGACCAATTTTGTATTTAGTCTTAATTGCCTATGCACATGCAATGCCAGGCTACAGCGATCCCCCCTTTCAGCTTGAATAATTATAAATAATATAAGAGAAAAAAAGAATATCAATAAAACTAAAAATATTAATAAACAAATAAGAATCTCTCGCTTAATAGCCGCTTAAAAGTGCGTGAAAAATGATTTGATTAAATATTGCAAAAATTCTTTGTAGCGAATAAACAAAATGCAATTTGTTGAACAATGCGAACGGAGCGTGTCGAACAGCGTCTATATAACATTTACACGAGCAAAGGCTATATCAAATCCCATACAAAACATTCTTATAATACATTTTGCGGGCACGCCTGACTGACGAACGGACTGACTGCAAACTTGTTCTTATTAGTAAAATGTTCTAGTTGGATATTTTGGCATGCAGCCTCCATTGCATTTATTATCGAGCAGAGGACATAACAGAAATGACTTGCCTAAAATAAAATTTTCCAAAATCTTGTTGTATTTTGTTGCCTGAAAATCAAATAATTCAATCAGATAAATAGCTAAGATTATATTTCGGTTCTATTTAAAGTTCAGATATATATCAAGTATATAAGAGAATAGTAAATCGTAGTATATATGTATTTATATATGTATATATTTTTTATATATTTATCTAGTGAATTTTTCTATTTGTATATTGAAGTCTGAGTATTTATTCATAATACTAAATAATATTTAAATAATCGATCTAATAAATTTAATTAGTTTAATTTTTATAATTTCAAATATTTTAATAATTATAAATTGTTTCATCTTTTTCTTTGCAGCCTACAATTTAAAAATTGTTATCAAAATATATTAAAGTTTAACGAAATATTTAAAATAGTGGAAAGCACATTTTTGGATTTATAAAGAAAAAATATAAAACCATTAAAAAATAAAAAATTAATTAAATAAGCATTAATAGCATAATCCATATTTAACTTTTAATACAAATTCTGATCATAAATACCAGTAAAAAAAAGTAATCTATTCAAAATTAATTAAATAACATTTTAGACACAGCTTCAAATCAATTTAAATAAATCTATTAAAATACATATTACGCATATATCCACGAAAACAGTTTAATCAACAAAAAATTATCAATTCCCCATAAAAATAATAATAATAATTAATGAATGAAATTTAATCAAAAAATGCTACCCATTGGCTGCAGGGCTTGAAATTTGAAAGAGGCCAATTGAATTAACTTTATTGGATTACGGCCAGAAATTGCAAGGTAATTAATAAATCGAGTGCGTTTGGCATGGTTTCGGAGGAGAACTGGAACAGCGATACCATGTCCGACTCGGACATGATCGACTCGAAGAACGATGTGTGCGGCGGCGCCTCCAGCTCCAGCGGTAGTTCCATATCGCCACGTACGCCGCCCAACTGTGCGCGCTGTCGCAATCACGGGCTGAAGATCACCTTGAAGGGTCACAAGCGGTACTGCAAGTACCGCTATTGCACCTGCGAAAAGTGCCGCCTCACAGCGGACAGGCAGCGCGTGATGGCCCTGCAGACGGCGCTGCGTCGCGCCCAGGCGCAGGACGAGCAACGCTCGCTCCACATGCACGAGGTGCCGCCTCCGGCGACACCGGCAGCGGCGCTGCTTGGCCATCATGCCCATCATCATCATGTGCATGCCGCTCACAGCCACGCCCATGCGCATCACGGCCATGCCCATCACGGCCATGTGCTGCACCATCAGCAGGCGGCAGCAGCAGCGGCCGCAGCAGCAGCGGCAGCAGCAGGAGCCGCACCGCCGGCTCAGCCACAGTCGCACCTGAACAGTGCCCACAACGGCACGGCGAGCAGTCTGCATGGCCACGCCCATGCCCACTCACACGTGCATCACGCTCACATGGCAGCTACATCGTCTGTGGTGCAGCAGCAGCAGCAGCAACACCATCACCAACAGCACCACCAGCAACAGCAGCAGCAGCAACAACAACAGCAACCGCCCCATCAGGCAACTCTTCGATCTCCCTCGCACAGCGATCATGGCGGCAGCGTGGGCGCAGCCACCAGCAGCTCCGGCGGTGGCGGGGTCGGTGTCGTTGGTGCCAGCTCCAGCAATGTGGCAGCTGCTTCGAGCAGCGGCTCCGGCAGCGCAGCTGGCGCTGGCAGCAGCGGAGGCGGCATCAGCGTCATCACCAGCGCCGATCATCACATGTCAACGGTGCCAACGCCCGCTCAATCGCTGGAGGGCTCCTGCGACTCCTCATCGCCATCGCCATCCTCCACATCGGGCAACGCCGTGCTGCCCATCTCTGTGTCCAGCACACGCAAGAATGTGCCACTCGGTAAGTGTCCAATTGATTCACATACTCATTCAGTGTTCCAGTTGAGAATATCAATGCAATGGGGCTTTTCCCTTGACATGAAGAGATGTACGAATGCTCCAAACCATCTCTAGTCATAATTAATACAGCAACAATTAAGATAAAACTGGGTTTGCATCACACATTCTGTAAGGCTGATAGTACAACTAGTTATATCAGATCCCTATAAGTATTACATTAGAATACTGCAAATGAAACTTATAACTCGTTTCGTTTCCAATATGTGGTCTGGGTCATAACTTACAGCAATATAACTTGCAAAAATATTCCGAATGATAATAACAATAATAATAATGACAATAATAATAGTAATAACACAGATCAAAGAGCTCGAAGTGTAACCAAGATTAGATCGTTATCGCCGCTGCATTTTAGAAGTTGTAAAACCGTCAACGAAGATAAAAGATAAGAAGCTTAGGGTTTTCTAATTATACAACACAAATAAAGTGAAATAGTTAACTCTCTGATTCTTAATTAAAAATAAGAAACCATAGATTAAAACTGACCCAGATTATTTACATATTCTATATATAAATATATATTATACACTCACTCGAAACGTTTTAGAACTTGCAAAAATGAAAGTTTTAGATTTATTTATTCAAAATTGTATTCCAAAGCGTACTCCTAGACTATACTCCCAATAGTTCAGTTAAAATTTCCATCTCCATTTATAAGATAACTGAAAGGGACAGACTAGTATATTAAGACTTTGCGATGTTGTCATTTAGTCTGGCAACTAAGTGTTTTGTCACTTCAAAAGAGAGAGAGACCAGGGACGACAATGCAATCACTTATGGAGAATGTCTCGACGTCACGTACGTATCGAGAGGAGCAGTCGGCAAGCCACAGGCCTAATCAAGTTGCAGTTGTTTATTGTGGCATTCAGCACAGACTGGCAACATGGGCCAGGCGCTGAGACAAGTGCAGGGGCGCAGCTCTGGACAGCTGCCAACAAGCAGTGGAAGCCTTCGACTAGAAGAGGCATCACGAAAAAACAAAAACAGCAAAAATGTGCCACTAATTGTTTACAGTGTGAGAAAAGCCAATTCCATGGCCAGTGGCCACGCTAATATGCGATAATCAATTATTGTGCCGCATAGCCGCTGTCAACAGATTCGACTCAACGAAAAGCTGACAGAAAATATATAAATTTAAAAAAGAAAATATAATAATTTAGAAAACAATTTTCATATTTTATTAGTGAAAATAAGGAAAATGTTAAATCAGGTGTACATAAAACAAGTTTTTTTAAAGTAAACTAAACAGACTTTCCAAGATGATTTATGGTAGTTCGATTTAGGTTTTATATGAGAATATTGTTGTTTACATAAGACTCACTTATATAATTTATTTTCTTATCGTTGAATCTATGAAAATCGAAAGTAATTTTATTAAACTTTCGCAGCTAACTTTCAAAATGTGACATCAAATGTGCATTTCTTGACAGAACTTAACAAAAATTGGATCAATCCAGTTTGCCATACTACCCATAATCCAAATACCTTTTTTTTCTGTTTGTAAACAAAGAGAGCTCTGCAAGCATTTGCTCATTATCAGCAATATCTACTTTAAAAATTTCACTTTAATTAATCAATGGATTAAAAATAGCTAAAACTCACAATTATTTGCAACATACAGAACCATGGCACGTGTGCTACTTGTCTAAACAAGATCTCTTAAATTGGCTGCAAAATCAAATCAGAAAAAAAAGAATTGTATAACTAAAAGGCGCCAAGAACTTAGAGCCAACTTTGATGCCAAATGCTTGGCGCGTGGCCCCTCTTTGTGGTCCCTCGAGAATGAGTAGACAGCAAGCCGAATGAATGTGAAGTACAACATAGTTGCCCCAAGCAGCAAAAGTCGAGCTCGAAGAGCAAAACGAGGCTCAAGCTCGCCAACAAGTTTGAGTCGAACGGGTTAAGCAAGGCAAGGCAAGGCATGGCAAGGTGAGGTGAGGTGAGGTGAGGTCCATTCAACAGATTAAAGCCGAGCCGAGACAGTGGGTGCAGGCCAAGCGTCAAGCCACAGCTACCGTTTTTTGTGTGTTGTCCCGGGAATTCGAAGCTCCCCTTACGTACAGTGGATTGTGTTAGCAGCCAGCATGATAATCATGGACATAATCATGGGCTTATCATGCGAATGAAATGTGCTGTGAAATGGCTGCGTGCCCGCTGAATGTTGTATGATGAATGTTCGCTCTGCTGCGAGCTGACAGCCCAGACGGCCATGCACTTGTCTGCAATTTAAATCGGGATTTGTATGCACTCTGTGCGATCCGCAATTAGAGTTGCGAAGCTGGCCTAAAGAGGCGTGCGACAAGGCTAAGTGCCAAACAACTGACACTAATTTTATGGCCAGCAACATTGTTGGACAGGCCGAGACATCGACTTTAAGACAGGTGTTATCTGTCTTCAGACAAATGTCTCTCTCTCTCTCTCTCTCTGTCTCTCTGGTTGTGGCAATGACAAATGTGTGGCTAAGTGATTCCAATGTAAATATGAATGGCAAAGAGAGAGCTAGGCCTATAAAGAAATGAATGGGTATTTTGATAATATAGAGATGCGAACAAGATATTGGAGTAAATTGACAGTGTGGAAAGTTAGAGCTGACTAATAACTGTAATAATAAATATATATACAACTGATAAATTAGTATTTGAGCATAAATAAATTAAATAATTATCATTCCACATAAATACGACTTTGAGAAGAGTTTAAAATGTGTGCGAATCGATAATCAAAAGTTATCTGAACACAAATAATATATATTTTATTATACACAGATTTGTAGTATAGAAATCGAATTCCTACGCAACTCCCAACTGCAAGGTGAATCATCAACAGGTTATTTATATATTTTCTGAGGCTATCATGTTAGAGAGTAAATAAATACATGGGAATGTAGATAGTGATAGAGATAGTAAAGCAAGCCAACCTTTTGTTTCGTATCGGACAAAGAGCATAAGAGCGAAGGTATATGTTGCTTATCAAGAGAGACAAAAGTTCTTCTCTCTTTATTTTGTATAATCATTTGAATTCGCGGAACATATAAAGTTCTTAAGACGTCTATATGACTTGTTGGTTTCCTCTACCTCTGCCTCTGCTCATTTTATTTTAGAATTTGAATCGTAGCCCTTCGTCGACAACTTTAAAAGTCCTATTCTATTCGTAGTCACGTAAATGCAACTGCAACTGCAACTGCAAGAGCGACAGCAACTGCAACTGCAACTGCGTCTGTAATTATGTGTATGTGCTATTTGACTTTTTGCTTGGGGCTTGCCAAGCAGTTTAGCTATCGTAAAACTTGGCTGCAAGGTTTTGTTCTTGTTGCTTGGGTAACTACCATATAGGGTTTCTGGGGTCGCCGTCACGGGCTCGAATCGTTAAGCAGTGAACGTCAAGTGGTTCGGCGATCGATAGACTTTGGCTTCAGTTAATTAATTTAATGCGCTTGCGCTAATTCCTGGGCTCTCATCGAGACGGGCAGCTCGGTGCCATCTCATAGCTTCCTCAACTCGCCTCTTGTTCTTCTTCTTTATTTATTTTGTTTTATTTTTTCTTTTTTCGCCTGAAAATCCGCAACAAAACTTTGGCGCGCTCGTAAAAATGAAGTTGTAAAAAGTATTTTTGTTACCCCCCGATTCGAGTCGTTGTTGTTGTTGTATTTTCGATTTCATTTCAAATGGCAGCCATATTTTGTAGTAGTTGGTAGAATTGCGCTCAGGGGCGGTCCAGAGTTCAAAATCGTACAACAAAGACCAGAAGAATAAGAATAATAAGAATAATAAATAAGAATATACAGAGGAAGAAGTTGAAGAAGAAGAAGAAAAAGTAAGAGGGCTGACAGGTCATTTCCTTGCATAATTTATGGGATTTCCAGCTAATATGTTGGCATTGCTTTTTAATACTTTTTGGCGGCGTTTTATTAAAAGCCCCGGCTTATGGCTGTTTAATCATCTGGTCAGAAGCAATGCCAATAACAATTGACTGCTCGAGAAAAAATTATAAAATGCAAACAAAAACAAAAACAACAAGCATTCATTTTTAGCTCGAAACTATAAAAACATGTTTTTTTGTGCAATTAAAGTTGCTTTTATGAGCAGAAAATTAGTCTAGACGAGGCCAAGGGCCTGAGCCATGCCCTCTACCTACACACAAATATATATGTATATATATATATATATTTCTATATATGTGCAGCTGTCGATCGAATCCAGGCTGTTGGCTCTTTGATCCACACACCTTTTACACTCCATAACATTTTGCGTGCTCACGCTTAGAGCCCGGACATTAAATTATCCATCAACTTATCATAATGATATGCAAGTGCTCTAAAAGCCCGGTTTACAATCAGCCAACAAGTTTTCAGCTTGTTTGCTCTTTTTTTTTGCAAGCATCTAATTGATTTAAATCGCGTGGCAAAAATGCAAAACTGCTCAATTGATGCTGCTAAAGAGGACAGCTTAATTAAGGTCTTCATTTTATGGGTTTGTAATGAAGCCTAATTATATAGAGCTTAATACGAAGGAAGGATTGTAAATCTGCATTTAATTATACTCAAGCAAGGGAATAAGATAATATTCGAGTCAGCATTGTATTACTTCATTTGCCTGTCTTAATCTATATCATATTACTCCATTACTAGGGTGCTCTGATTGCTTTGATAATAGCAATTATGCGTAAGAGAAGAATCATTAAGAAGGCGTCGACTCAAAGATATCATAGCCCTGAAGAACATTGCTATATATAAGCTAAACAGCTGGATGTAGATATAATAATGATAACATAATAACATAATAATAACATAGAACCTAAAAAGAGAAATTTTAAGAGATATGAAAATTATTAGATCTGAACATATATGAATACAAGATATCGAATATAAAGTTGGATCTATTCAATGTTAATCTAGTTACTCTTCGAATTAAAAGAAACCATAAACTTGGCCGACTTGGTCTA